AGGGAAGGGAAGGGAAGGGAAGGGAGAGTAAAATAACAGTAAAGGAAAAGGTAGGGAAAGGAAGAGGAAAGGAAGAAGAAAGGAAGGGGAAGAGTAAAAGAAGAGGAAATGAGAGAAGGAAAGTGGAGGAAAGAATAAAGGAAGGAGGAAAGGAAGGAGGAAACAAAAGAGGAAATGGAATAGGAAAGTATGAAAGGAACAAAGAGAAGAAAGAACAAAGAAAGGAGAAAAGGAAAGAGGAAAAGAGGGAGGAGGAAAGGAAGGGAAAGAGGAAAGGAAGAGACTTATTTTAGCTTATTGCTTCTTCTATCTTTTTTCAAGATCTTATGAGGGCTGAGAATGTAGGTTACACCCTTGTAAGTGTTAGGGAATCAACTCCTCAAATCCCATTTTCTGTCATCAGTAGAATAATTTTATAACCGCGGTGTCCTTCCACTCCCCTCCCACGTGAAAGGTACTGGCAGTTGACTGTTTTCAATAAATTGTACCTCAATATCCATTCTCACTAGAATCTTAAACAACATTATTCATTTATCTTACAAAGCTACTAAAAAAATTGCCTTCACCTGAAAAATTTTTCTTTGCATTTACCTGCAAATGAAAATGTTTGTTAAAAGATCATGTATTAAAAGTCCACGCAGCACTAAAAAAAAAGGTTTCTGTATATTTGTTCCCATGTTCACTCTTAAATTAAACAAATAAAATAAGGTAAGACAAAGGAAGGTTGAATACTGTTCAGGTTCGCAGGTAACCTTTTTCGTCATTCTGAATGTTTCACTAAGTTTTGTAACTCTGATACTGGACAGCACTTCAATCTTGCTTCTACAGTACGAAAGAAACTTTCAAAAAAATGCTCATCTTGCCTTGTTGCGCTGTCCAAGTGCATCAATGAAGTGTTCACATAATTAACAAATGTAATTGATAGCACCAAACCGTTTGACCAGTCAGATAGGTTCCTAATGCCACACATGCACATTCACACTTCTTTACTGCTGTAACTATGATCCTACACCAATGTTTTATAAATTCGCTGTCTCAGCATTAAAAAATAAGTGCATCAAGTTTCTTTGTACATTCAAGTCACTTTCTAAGGCAAATTGTCTACTGTATGTATTCCCGACTGCTTTGGTATTTTGCTTCAGTTAATTGACAGTGGACATGGGTGTTCAAGCATGTGGACTGGTCAGTTCTGGCTGGAGTGAGTGGGCTTTCACTGGAAGCATGCCTTAGACCAAAATTCTGCATGTTGAAAAAAGGTTCTAGACTTCTGGATGGGGTGCAGACTACATGCATATTTGGCCTATAATTGTTATGGTATGTCAGTATGCAAAGTTCAAATTAAAGTAGAAAACTGCTGATGAGTGATTAGGCTGTACATCCCTTCCTAGCTACGTTCCATTTCTTTTTATTTTTGAGCTAACTTAATTCTTTAAAAAAAGGATCCCCATAGTGATAGCTCAGATTAATACAAATTTAAAACTTTCTTCTCATGTAAGAATATAAGCAGACTGCAGTAAGCGATACATCTATTGCCATGAGACTAATGCAGACCTAATTATTTACTATGTTCTCCTCCTACCCCTCTCTCTCTTTGTGTTTCTTTAGAGGGCAAATGCCTCTACCTGGCAGAAGTCAGTTGGGGTTGCTAGTGCATGGTTTCCAGATGTTCAGCAGAGATGCAACTGGAACTGTATTTTCGCAGTAATTTGTACTCTACTATGGGAAGACTGTTATTTCCCTTAGCAATCAACAAAGACTGAAAAATATTAGTGACTTGCATCACTGTGACACAGTATAGCATTTGGCAAGTATATAGTTCAGCAGTTGAAATAGACGAGTTGAAGTTTTAGAAAAGGTGTTTTCAACTTGAAGAATTTCTGGAAGCAAAGTTTAGTCTTGTGGTGCATGGTCTTGTTCTTACAGTTCAATCTTGCATGCAGGAAAAGATTCATCTTGCATAACGACAGTGCTGCTGCTTGCCAAAACCATAATGTTGAGGTCCTGCTGTTTCTCATGGGTCTCTTGGTACCATTCCCTCATCACTTCTGAGTCATGTGTTGGGATTAATGTCACCTGCAACACAAAACAGAAGTTCTGATGAATGAACAACAGAAATAATTGATAAGCAAAACGTCTTTGCAAGAAGCCCAAGCCACTCTTTCCATTTTGGAAAGAGTGGGTCTTTGCACTGATACGCTTTAGATAAGGGACAAATATTTAATTTACTCTATCATCGTGATGGAAAGGCATATGAAGTTTCCAAATGCATGTAATAACTGTATAAAGTGTAAAACATACGCTTTTCTTCCCTACTTACAAAATGTGACATTTCCAAATGTGGATCATATATATAGCATAGTAAAAAGATGAAACAGCCACCTGGCCCTTTAGGCCAGTTCTCAACTATTTTGTTCACCAGGAACAGGTTTGAAGGGCCAGAAATGTGGGAGCAGCTAAGTGCAGTTCAGCTCTGTGCTTCAGATCATTGATATCTTTATCGATGATTTAGATGAGGGGACTGAGTGCACCATTAGTACATTTGCAGAAGACACCAAGCTGGAGGGGAGTGTTGATCAGCTGGAAGGCTTTTCAGAGAGACCTGGACAGACTGGAGAGTTGGGCTGATTCCAATGGGATGAGGTACAACAAGGCCAAGTGTCGGGTCCTGCACTTTGGCCACAACAATCCCCTGCAGCGCTACAGGCTGGGCACAGAGTGGCTGGAGAGCAGCCAGGTGGAAAGGGATCTGGGAGTTTGGATTGACAGGAAGCTGAACATGAGCCAGCAGTGTGCCCAGGTGGTCAAGAAGGCCAATGGCATCCTGGCCTGGATCAGGAACAGTGTGGCCAGCAGGAGCAGGGAAGTGATTCTGCCCCTGTACTCAGCACTGGTGAGGCCACACCTTGAGTATTGTGTTCAGTTCTGGGCCCCTCAGTTCAGGAAGGATATTGAGGTGCTGGAGCAGGTCCAGAGAAGAGCAACCAGGCTGGTGAAGAGACTCAAACACAAGTCCTTTGAGGAGAGGCTGAGGGAGCTGGGGTTGTTTAGTCTGGAGAAGAGGAGGCTCAGGGGTGACCTCACCACGCTGTACAACTCCCTTGAGAGGAGGTTGTAGCCAGGTTGGAGTTGGTCTCTTCTCCCTCTCAACTATCAGTAAGACAAGAGAGCACAGTCTTAAGCTCTGTCAGGGGAGGTTTAGGCTAGATGTTAGGAAGAAATTCTTTACAGAGAGGGTAATCAGGCATTGGAACGGCCTGCCCAGAGAGGTGGTGGATTCACCATCCCTGGAAGTTTTAAGGATGAGACTGGATGTGGCACTTAGTGCCATGGTCTAGTAACCATGGCGATGTTGGATCAAGGGGTTGGACTCAATGATCTCAGAGGTCCTTTCCAACCTGGCTGATTCTATGATTCACTTATGCATTCTCTCTTATCATCAGTGAAACAGGGTGCCCAGCCTGGGGACCATATTCCCTGGCAGCTGCCAGCCACTCCGCAGAGGTGCTCTAGCTTCTCATAGCTGTCCCAGAGAAGCTTAAATTTCCAGGTAGAGATATGAGTGAAGAGCCTACCTGCATGTTACTCTCCCACTGTGCCTTGCCCTCCAGCAGGGAGTCCAGAACAGCCCTGCTTGGCTCCTCGGCTGCAGAATCATTCCCGCTCACAACATAGTAGGACGACCGCACCCTCTTGAAAAACTCAACATCAACATTCTTGCTATTGCTATGGTTGGGAATGTATACCAGATCCAAATACACTGGAGGTCCAGGAGGCACTGCTGAAGATTTTGTCACCTTAGTATTCCCAGGTCCTTTGAAAACAAAACAACAAAAGTATTTATCACAGGCTGGTTAAAACCACGCATTTAGTAATTACTGTTATAACCACTGAGGTAAATGTGTCCACTTATGGCATTACCCTCATACATATAATGGCATGGTCCAGTTTTGTTGTACACCAGTTATGACTGTAAGGGAAGAAAAACCTGAATAACTGGAACTATATAATACAATAAAAAAATCACTACCACAAACAAAAACTCATCTGAACCTTACATAATAAAATACTACTATTATCCAACAATTACTATGCAGGGCTGTGATTACCGATTTACCATTCAATAAATGGTGGTATTATTTTCCAGGTGAAGAAGTGCAGTTTTTTGAAAGTCTCATGTACACAGGATTATAAAAGGAGTATAAAGGGTCATACAGGGAGCCATGCAGATTGAAGCACTCCTGAAATTTGAGGTAGACAGCAAGACATTATAGCTATTGATATGCTCAGGCTGCCTTACAGGTGCTTTAGAAAGTGCCCGTAACATGAGCAGAAAGAGGGTTGAGGAGTAACTTGGAATGACAGAGGGACTTGTAAAGCAATTCAGAGAACAGAGTCAAGTGCTTGATGTATCCTAATTTGCACACCCAAATCAGCCACTTATCACAAACAGTGGGGGGAAACAAATCTTTGCTGCTGCACATAATATATACAGTACTTGTTCTAAGAAGAGCTTCAGCCAAAAGGAAGTATAACATTTAAACACATTGAAAATAATACACACAAAAAAGTGTCTTTTGCTATAAACTAGATCATGGTGTCAACTGAAAATTGGGATTTGACCAGTAATTTTATCCAGATGACCGCTATTCATGGTCTATTAGCCTTCTCATGCTGACGAAGCTTGGTAAACAATTATCTGAGCAATACACTCAATTTAGGGTGATGCAATGTAAGACCAGCTAAGTCCATTACATTTGTCTAACATATCCTGCTATCCATCAAAGGGCAATACTTCAAATGACATGATAAGATTTTCTGAATTAGTGAGTTTTACCATTGGGTTTTGTTACAAAATATTTTATCATATTTGATGATAAAAAATCTGTGATATTTCTTTTTGAATTGTGATATTAGTTATTACACTTTACACTTAAATGTCATTACCAATAGAGCTCTGTCTTATTCCAGGATACACCTGAAAAGTATGCCTTAAGGAGGAAGACTCATGTGGAGCTAAAATGATGGAGAAATGTACACCATGAAAAACTACATTGCTGCTTTGAAATGATCTACTAACAGAGATATGCAAATGATGGTGTAAGAAAAGAACAGTGTACAACTAAAAACCGGGGCAGCTAAAGACAGTTGAATGCTGCTTTGTTTGTACAGAATCCCAGACCTGCTCCTTGTAAAAAATCTTTCAACAGAACATCTGTCCTTGCAGCAGCAAAGTATACTCCAACCCTCTCTAACAAGGTCTGACGGAAACAAGAGATTAGCACAATGCCTCCTTCAATCATCTAAGTCATATTTTATTGCTATATAGGAAATACAACAGTCGTTCAAAATGACAATAACTTTCTGTATGTTTAATCATCACTGATGGCGTAAGACTTTAACTGGATTATGTGATGTACATGCTTAGTTCACTGAAAGTGCTTTTACTAATTTTGTAATTTTTTTAAATGCTCATTTTAAAATCAATCCAGTATAGTAATGAAAGCATCCAAAAACTGATCATGACTTTGTCTCCCACAATATTAAACTGCATTAATTTATGTTAAAGTGACTTATGCCTACCTATTTCCCACAATGAATAAAGGGGGAATCACTCTGCTACTGATTTCACTTCACCTACAAAAGTGGTACTTTTAATACTGTTAGGTGATTAACCATTTAGAGAGCTAGTATTTAAGTATTAAATTCTTTCTTTTATGTACTCTCTGGGCAAACTGACACATCAATTTTCTCAGATTACAAAAGTAAAACTAGTGAATTTCATGCATTTAAATGTGGCCTTTACATGCTGGATTTACATTTAAAACTGGGACTTTTTTGAGGATTTGCTACAAACCACATTCTCAGTTGATAAAAAGCTAAACTAACTTCACTCTCAAAACTAAGAAAATTGTAACATGAGGGAATTGCTATTTGTCTTTACCTGTGGTTGCAGTCTTTGCTGACTTGGATGTTGTTGTATTTGCTGCATTCTTGGTGTCTTTGTCTTTCTCTTCCACTCGAGACTTTACTTCTGGATTAGAGATATTTTTGGTTGCCTTCTCCACAGATTCCTTCTTTTTTGGAGAAGCTGTTCTGGAAATTTTATCTAAAGATTCTTTTATAGCTGGCTTTGGTGAAGCCACTTGTTTTGATTTACCATCACTTTTTTTAACAGGAGAAGATGACTTGGCCTTTGTACCCTGCTTTTTCGTCTTTGTCTTTTCTTTGAGGTCCTTCTTCAAAGGTTTACCTAAATTCTGATCAACTGGCAGAGCTTCTGGATCAACCATGGTAACATCAGGGTGCCTAGGGGAAGGGCTGCGATCCTGCATTGGGACAGGCGGTGGGTCAATGTGTTTGTACGTAATTGTCTTGTCCGTTGGAATGGTTTCTGACTCATCTTCTGAGTCAATGTTAGCATCTGCAGTGATGGAAGGACATTCCTCAGTCTCCGGGGGAACATCTGAATCAGTCTGAGATGGGGCAGACTCGCTTACAGATGTGGGAGGGGTTTCATCACACTGCCGCCCTTGCTGCTTTCCTCCAGAAGGTGGATGAGCTCCCCCAGACTGAGTTGGAGGCTTCTCTTGATCTTGAGACTGTTCTTCATTTGCAAACCACTCAAGGGGATTTGGGTTGATAAATGAGGGTGAAAGTTCAGTTTTGGGATGTTTATACTCACAAGAGGACACAAGGCATAAGTCAACATCTTGACGGGATTCTGCTAACGATTTACTTGGAGTGAAATGTGCGCTTGTGTCATAGGAATAGCTGGTAGCTTCGGGAGACCTGGTGGCTCTCCCAGTTGTCTCAAATGAGTAATCTGTGGCTTCAGGTGAACTGGAGGCCTTCCCAGTTGTCTCATAGCAGTAGCCAACAGCTTCTGGTGACTTAGAGGTTTTCCTTGTCTCATAGGAGTAATCCATAGAATCAGGTGATCTGGTAGCTTTCCCAGTTATCTCATAGGAATAATCTGTGGTCTCAGGTGATTTGGTGATTTTCCCAACTGTCTCATAGGAATAATCTGGGGCCCCTGGTGACCTGGTGGTTTTCCCTGTTATCTGATAAGAATAATCTGTGACCTCAGATGACCTCATATTTTTTGCAATTATCTCATAGGAATAATCTGTACCCTCAGGTGACCTAGTAGTGTTCCTGGTTATCTCATAGCAATAATCTGTGGCTTCAGGTGACCTAGCAGTTTTTCTGGTTGTCTCATAGGAATAATCCCTACCTTGAGGTGATTTAGTAGATTTTCCAACTGCCTCATAGGAATAGCTAATATTCTCTGGTGACCTAGTAGTTTTCTCTCTGGCCTCATATGAATAACTAAGTTCTTCAGGTGACCTGCTGCTTTTCTCTGAATCTTCTTTCTGTGGGCTCAGTAAAGGTTCTGGACTGTGCTTTGTTAGGGATTCCTGATAACCAACGGCTTTGACAGAGGACACTTGCTGTGACAACAAATGTGTGTCACTAGTTGATACTGCTTCTTTGCTTGCAGGAGGTGAATCTGGAAAAGTAGGAGAATACAGAGGAGAAGATTCCCTCGGAGTTAATGGAGATAGGTCAGATTTTGGTGACAGCTTTTCTCCCAGGCTCTGCACCTTTTCTGAGGTAAAAGAAGAATATAGTGACATATCTCTGTGTGGAACAGCACCTGAAAAAGTTTCCTCTGGCAGTGGTGAAGCTACCTGGGAAGGTGTATGAGCAGATGAAGTTGAGGATGAAGCTTCAATTTGAGAAACTGAAATAATTTCTGAAATATCCTTCTCTTGAGAGTAAGATGACTGCTCCATGGGGGAAATTTTCTGTGCGAAAGGAGGCTCCTGTATATCTGAAGGGCTATAATCTACTTCTGTTGGTCCATTTTCAGATATATGGTGTATAGTAGTGCCTACAGCAGGATATTCTGGAGACTGCCTAGTAAAGTCTATTGCTAAAGACTGCTCAGGGGACTCCCGACCATATCCTACTGACATAACTGACTGCTCAGGAGATCTGTGATCATGCACAGGTGTTCTTGATTTTGCAGTTTTAGGTGAGAAATCTGGTGGAGAAATCGACATGGGCCTTGGGCACTCTTCTTTAGATGGAGACATTTCTGTTTCCTGAAAAGTTGTTGGTGTTTGTACAACTGACACTGAAAGGGAATCATCAACTTCAGTAGAATGGGGAGAACCAACCTCAGCATGCAAAGAAGGAGATACATCATCAGTAGTTGGTTCTGGAAATGAACTAGTGGCAACAGATGCTGTAGAGACAGAAGCTACTCCTTCTATATGGGAATAGGTGTCTTCTGCGACAACCTCGTCAACAGGAGTAGCAGACTTGTCAGAAACAGTGCCTTCAGAAATTGACATTTTGGTATCTTCTTTTAAAGAGCCAAACTGACTAATATCTACTTGAGTCGGTGAGAGATCATCTGCTAACTTCCGCTCATGCAAGACCAGTGAAGACTGAGAGCTGCTGGGTTCTGTATCCTCCATTTTCCTTTCCAGGCTGAAGCCTTCCCTAATTACCATAAACTCCATGCTTTTTTCATCTTGTCTTTCTTGGAAAAGGCCCACAGAGCTGGCTTCTGAAGCTGGACTCATCTGAACAGGTGATTTTTCTTTTTCAGGTTTCCCCTCAGAAGGACTTCCATAATCCCTGGCGGGAGACATTAAATCAGCACTCAAAAATGTATCATAAGTGGTCTCTGAACCTATCAGTGGTGGACTCCGTAGAGGCGAGAGAACTTTTTCAATAGGAGATTCTGAATCTGGCACAGGCTCATCCATTGGGCTTATTCTGCATTTTGCAGAGTCATCTTTGACTTCACTGAACTCAAAGCTAACAGGTGCTTCTGTTGACTTTTCACTGGTCTCACAGGGAAGCTGACTGGACTTTTCATCAGTGGGAGACTGATAATAAGGTGTGTGGCCAGCACTACCAGCAGCAGACTGTGAGGGAGATGCTACTTCTAACGTTTTATCTTCAGGGCTTGCACAGTGCTCCTCAGCAATTTCTTGGTGTACATCGGGCAATCTAGCAACAGGGACTGACTCAGAAGGGACCTTGATCTCATTGGGAGTAAGTGAAAAGTTCACACTACGTTCACCCAGTGGTGTTTTGGCAACAGGTGATGGAGGGGACAAACTGGCAGCTGGACTCTTGGCTGAAGTATGTTTTCCATCAATATCTTCTTGATAGGGTTCTCTGATGTCCATTTTGGCAGTGCCATGGATTTCACTTTCTTTTTGTTGGTATACATCTTGGAACGCAGATTTGCAGAATTTGTCTTCCTCTAATGAAGAAGGTGGTGAGATGGTGGAAGCTGAGGCATTATAATCCTTACCTTCTGTGGCCTCTGTTTTGGATCCTTCAGATAATCCATTAAAAGCATCTGGAAGTGGAGAAAGTTTAGGTCTGCCAAACTCTTGAGAGTACAGTGATGTCTCATACTTGGTGATGTTCACATACTCCTGAGAGGGTGACTCACTTTCCTCATTGTTAGTTTCATCACTCATGACATCTCGGGGTGTCGACATTTCATCCATTGGAGTTGGTTCACTGGATATTTCAATGGTGGACTGTGTGTAACCTGAAGTAGCAGTAAATTCCTCAGGTTGATCTTCTCTGTTTTCTTCATCAGAAACAGTGGCTTCACTTTCTGAACCACCAGGTAGTGTTTCATCATGGATAGAAGAGGCTGGTTCAATTACTGGAGACTGAGACTCTGATCGTTTAGTTGGTGTAATTATGAGTAAGCCATATTTATCTTCAGTTTCACCTGATTCTGCAGCTTTGTCTACCACGGCCATCACATAATCTTCTTCGGTTTCTATTTTTTCAGTTTCCTCTTCATCTCTGATGTCTTCTGCTTTGTCTTCCTCATCTTCTTCAGTCTCTTCAGTTTCTGCCTTTTCTATTGCTTCTTCTCTGTCCTCTTCAGCCCGTTCATCGGATGCCTCGTAATCCGCTTTTTCAATATACTTTTCATCTTTAATGTTAGCCTCTACTCCAGTCATCATTTGTCCAGAGCCATCTGCAACTTTTCTTGCTTCTTGCTTGTACAGTTTTGTGGCATCCAGACATGTCTTTTCTTCTTCATTTTCATCTCGTTCTTCAGCTTCTTCTGTCTCTGCCTTTTCTTCATAATCTCCTGCTTCAGATGATTCTTCCAAACCAGTTCCCTCATCTTCAAACTTTTCATTGTCATCAATGCTGTGCTTTCCCACAGGTTCCAGTTCTTCAGGCGTCTGTTCACATTCACCCTCAGCTTCTGTGGTAGTTATGCCTTCATCAGAGGACTCGGCAGGTCCTTCATTATCCAATTTTTCTTTTTGTACTGTGCCACTGAGTTTCAGTTCATCCTTTATAAGTGGAACCTGAACTTTTGTTTCTTTTGTTGTTTCTACTTCTTCAGCTTTTAATTCCTCAAAATCCTTTGTTAAGTCCTCTGGTGAAGACATAAGGGATCTCTCTGCTTCAAGCTCCTTTCCACCAGTGGTAATTTCTGCAGCTGCTACAGTTATGGCCCCAACTGCTGCAAGAGCAGCTTGTGTTCCACTGACTTTGAGGTCCTTCTTCACAGTTTTAACTTTTCCTTTTTCCTTTGGCTTTCCAGAAGGTATCACTTCTTTTTTAGCAGGTTCCTCTTTCTTTTGTGGTTTAGGCTTTGCTGCTGGCTTTTTGGCTTCATTTGAAGCAGCAGCTGTTTTCTTTGTTTCTTTAGGAATCTTTTTTATGTCCTTTTTGGCTTCTTTGTCTTCCTTCTTAATTTCCTTCTTCTCTTCTTTTTTAGCTTCTTTTTTAGCTTCTTTTTGTGAAGTTTCTTTCTTTATTTCTTTCTTAGTTTCTTTCTTCTCTTCTTTTTTCACCTCCTTTTTAACTTCTTTCTTGATGTCCTCTTTTTTTGGTTTCTCCTCTTTTTTGATGGGGGTTTTCTCCTCTTTTTTGATGGGTGTTTTCTCCTCTCTTTTAGAAACCTCTTTCTTTGGTTTTTCTTTTTCCTCTTTCTTTTCTTCAGGTTTTCCTTTGACTTCCTTTTTCACTGTCTTCTCCTTTGACACTTTTGGTTTTACATCTGTACTTTGTTTCTCAGGAGTTTCAGATTTTACTAATTGTTCTTCTTTAGCTACTATGTCTTTTTCCACCACTATTGGTTTGGTCTCTACTTTTGCTTGTTTTTCTTTTTTAACTGGAACTTTTTCTTTGCTTTCCAACTTCTGAGGCTTTTCTGGTACCAGACTAGGTTTCACAGGCTCTGGTGTTTCCTCTTTAGATTCCTTTCTCACAGGCTTATTTGGTGGTGTCTTTGCCACAGGCTTGAGACTCTCCTTGCTGTCTGTTCGTTGTTTCAACTTTGCTTGTTTCACAGCTGGACTAGCAATGTTCCCAGTTAGATCTTTTTGTGTAACCATTGGTTGTTTAAGGAAGTCTAAGTGTTTGAGTTTTTCTAGTCCTTCTAGAATATTATATTGGGTGCTGTTTCCAGGAAACAGAACTCGGATTATTTTTTCTGCAGGATTAGCTGGGTGCCACACAATCAGGGATGAGACTGAGGTGAAATAGGATAATGGAATGTCTAGTTCTTGGCCATTTGGTAGCAGGAAATCAGCTTTATCTTTGTTAGTACCACTCCACTGCTGCATAAAATATTGCATCTCTTTGCTACTTTTGACAGGATTAAGCACATACATCTCAAGCTTGCCAACTCCCATTTTCTGAAATAAAATTATGGGGTCAATGGTATTTCCTGTATTTCTGAAAAGAGGTTCTGGTTTCATAGACAATTTGTTTAAATACTGGAGAGTAAAACAAGCTTCTTCTACACTCCTTTTGACTCTAAAATTAGGATCCAGGTTCTTCAGGTTCTCAGGTACATTAAGAAATACAACTCCTAGATCAGGTGAGATCAGATTTTTCATCCAGTCACTGTTGGTGGTAGACCCTTGGGATTGTTCTTCTTCTAGTTCAGCTATCTTTCGCTGAAGCATGCTATTGATTCCAGGCAGATTGTCATCTCCAATGTGAGTAAGCAGAATGGAATCTACTCTGTCCAAGTGCCGGATAAGTTTCCAAAAACAGGACTTTCTTTCAGATCCTCCATTGATAAGCATATTGAATCCATTCACTGCAAACAATGCAGAGTCCCCTCTTCCCCCTGGGAAAATATAACAGCAGGGTTTGGAGAGTTTCAAGAAACCTCCTGAGGTTGGAGGTTCCAAAATGTCAAAAGGTGATGGCACTTCTACTGATTCTGACAGATATTCTGTGAATTCAGAGAGTCCTTCCATTTCAGGCAATATAGAAGCTGAGTTGAGTTTAATGTTTATAAAGTCTTGAAGGTTGTGTCTGTCAAGGTTGGAATTTTTCCAGTCTCCTTCCTCAGGGCAGAAAAGAGTTAGGCTGGCTTTGTTGGCAGGGTGTGTGGTGCTCAATAATTCACCAATCTAGGGTTATAAAACAAAAACACAAGAAGATGCACAAAAATTCATTTTTTCAATTACAATAATGTCAGAACATAGTATTTCCTGATCAATTAGAAAAAAACCTTTTTCATTTACTTCGGCAGCGGTGAGTACCCATCCCAGAAGCCAAAGGAAACTGTTACTACAATTAGTTCACTGCTGTATTTTTTAAAACATAAAGGAGGACCTTGTCCCTGGTCACTATTGCCCAAAGGACAACAGCACCCAAGGTTTCCTCATCCCTTCTCCACTTTTTATACAAGGATAGTACAAACTTTTATATCAAGAGGGTATGAGGATTATGAGGCTAATGCAGCCTGCACTGCCATTACATCCCTGCCATTGGCTCATGAGTCTGCCTGATGCCCCAGTTCAACCAGAAGAGCCAGCCAAATATCTAAAGGACAAAGCACAACCTCTTAACAGCCAGAAAGTAACTGCATCATGCAGGAGGCCAGCATCCTCCTAGGGACAGCTGCTATCCTTTGTCCTTTTCTCACAGGATATATTGCACCACACCATCATTACTGCAGCTCTTTCTGCAGGCTGGTTCCTTAAAAGCCAGTACTGCTTCCAGATTTGTCAAGACTTGCTTGCAGAAGATTTTTTCAGCGCAGTGACCATAAGATGGTGGAACTCAGGATCCTGTGTGGAGGAAGCAAAGAAGTAAGCAGGACTAGAATCCTGAACTTTGACCTCTTCCAAGACCTACTTTGAGGAATCCCATGGGTTAGGGCTCTAGAAGAACAGGAGAGCTGGTCAATATTCAAGCATCACTTCCTCCAAGCTCAAGACCAGTGTATTCCCATGAGCAAGAAATTAAGCAAAGGAGGCAAGAGACTGGCATGGATGAGCAAGTAGCTTCTAGCAAATCTCAGATGGAAGAAAGAAATTTATGGCATGTGGAAAAAGGGACAGGTCACATGGGAGGACTAGAGCAATATTGTCAGAATAAGACAGGATGTGACAAGGAAGGCGAAGGACCACTTGGAATTGAGTTTGGCAAGGGATATCAAGGACAACAAGAAGTGCTTCTACAAGTACATCAGAAGCAAAAGGAAGATTAGGGAAAATATGGGACCATTGCTGAATCAGATGGGTGTCCTGGTCATGGAAGACACAGAGGAGGTGGAACTACTGAAAGCCTTTTTTGCCTCAGTCTTTACTGCTGAGGCTGGCCCTCAGGAAATTCAGACCTTGGACGTAAGAGAAGAAGGCTGAAAAAAGGAAGACTGTCCCTTGGTCATAGAGGGGTCGGTTAGAAATCAGTTAGACAGAGTTAATACGCATAAATCCATGGGCTCTGATGGAAGGCACCCATGGGTGCTGAGTGAGCTGTTGCTAAGCTACACTCCATCATCTCTGAAAAATCACGGAGAACAGAAGTGCCTGATGACTGGAGGAAAGCCAGTGTTACTCCCATCTTTAAAAAGGGCAAGAAGAAAACTACCAGCCAGTCAACCTCACCTCTATGCCTGGAAAGGTGATGGAAGAGATCTTTGTGGAAGTCATCACCAATCATGTAGAAGAAAAGAAGGTCACCAGGAGTCATTACCATGGATTCACCAAGAGGAAAATCATGCTTGATCAATGTGATAGCCCTCTGTGATGGTATGGCAGGATGGGTTGATGAGGGGAGTGCAGTGCAATGGTGTCTCCTTCGACTTCAGCAAGGTTTTTCACACTGTCTCCCATAGGTAAGCTCAGGAAATGTGGTTTAGATGAATGGACAGTGAAGTGAGTCAAGAACTGGCTGAATGGCAGAGCTCAGAGGCTCAGGATCAGTGGAGCAGAATCCAGCTGGAGACCTGTAGTCAATGGCATTCCCCAGGGACCAATGCTGGGTCCAGTTTTATTCAGCTTGCATATCAATTACATGGATGAAGTGAAAGAATGTACCCTTAGCAAGTTTGATGATAAGAAACTGGGGGGAGAGGCTGGCATACCTGAAGGCTGTGCTGCTATTCAGTGGGATCTGGGTAGGTTGGAGAGTTGGGAGGAGAGAATGAAGTTCAACAAAGGCAAGTGTAGGGTCCTGCACCTGGGCAGGAATAACCCCAAGTACCAGTACAGGTTGGGGGCCAACTGCTGGAAAGCAGCTCTGCAGAGAAGGACCTGGAAGTCTTGGGTTGCGTATGAGCCAGCAGTGTGCCCCTGTGGACAGAAGGGCCAACGGTATCCTGGGGTGCATTGGGAAGAACATGGCCAACAGGTCAAGGGAGATGATCTTGCCCCTCTTCCTGGCCTTAGTGAGGCTACATACAGAGTATTGTGTTCAGTTCCGGCTTCCGCAGTTCAGGAAAGACAAGGGGCTACAGGAGAGGGTCCAGCGGAGGGCCACAAAAATGATCAGGGGTCTGGAGCATCTCTCTTATGAGGAGAGACTGTGGGAACTAGGCTTGTTAAGTTCAGAGAAGACTGAGAAGGGATCTCATTATTGCACATAAATATTTCAAAGGCAGGTGCCAAGAGGATGGTGCCAGACCCTTTTCAGTGGTGCCCAGCAGTAGGATGAGGAGCAATGGCCACAAGCTGAAACACAACAAGGTCCACTTCAACATGAGGAAGAACTTTCATGGAGGGTGAGAGAGCACTCTAACAGGCTGTTCAGGGAGGTCACACAGTCAACCTCTCTGGAGACACTAAAAACCCACCTGGAGGCATTCCTGTGTCACTTGCTGTAGGTGACCCTGCCTTGACTAGGTGGTTGGACTGGATGAACTCCAGAGGTCCCTTTCAACCCTAACTATTCTGTGATTCCGTGATTAAGAAATTAATTATTACTTCAAAGATGGAAACAGCTACAAGTTTCTGGGCCACTAGCTCCAAGAAAGACATTGGAGATGCTGGAATGTGTCCAGAGAAGGTCAACAAGGCTGGTGAAGGGTCAGGAGCAGGGTCAGGAGCAGAAGTCCTTTGAGGAGTGGCTGAGGGAGCTGAGGTTGTTTAACCTGGAGAAAAGGAGATTGAAGGGGTAAACTTTTCACTCTCTACCACTACCTGAAAGGAGGCTGTAGCCAGGTGGGGGTTGTTCTCTTCTCCCTAGTAAGAAATGACAGGATGAGAGAAAACAGTCTCAAGTGGCACCAGAGAAAGTTTAGATTGGGTATTAGGGAAAATTTCTTCCCCAAATGGGTTGTCAAACACTGGACCAGTGTTTGACAGGCAAGTGGTGGAGTCATCATCCCTTGAGGGATTTAAAAGACGTGTAGATGTGGTGCTTGAGGAGGTGATTTAGTGATAGACTTGGCAGTGCTGGGAAAGGGTTGGACTTGATGACCTTAGAGGTCTTTTCCAACCCAAATTCTGTGAATCTGTCTTTTTCAACCTTAACAATTCTATGAAGCTATGATTTTAAGTTTTGTATTTCTGAGACTACAAGGTAGAGGGCTAAAGAAAAAAACAGGGAAAAACTCAAACATTAGGCTTAAAAATGCTCGTCACTAGTTTGATTTAAAACTCATGGACCCCAAAATTTGAAATCTAAAGCAACTCTATTAATTTTGACAGCATTTATTAACATCCTAATATCAACACCAACTGCTGCAATAAAGGCACAGAAAATAAGAATTTCTATGCCACAGTATGAAGAGCTGTTTTCTACTCCAGTCTGAACTCAAAAAGCAGAATTTGATGGTCCCAGATAAGTAGACTAACATGAAAAAGTATGACGCATTTTATACCTTATCCAACTTCTGCAGATACTGTCATGTGATTTTTTTTAACTGACAATTCAGTTAAATGTAGCTCATTTCTGTTTTATTTGCTTTTAACAGAGAGAGCACCAAACTTCTTAAGAGAAGTAATTCAGATATAAAATGTCAGTGGAAAACATGCCAGCACATCATCATGGAGAATACCAGAGCCTTCTTTACAGAGCTCAAATATCAATTCAAACTGTAAGAACAGTTTTCATAAGGATAATGAAAAAAAGCTAAATAATTGGAAATGTTTGGACTACAAGCTGTATTAACAGCAGAAATGAATATATATAAGATTAAAGATGTTTGATTGCATTAGGTCTCTTTAGGCCTCTCTGTGTGTAGGTCTCACTTCCTTTCTTTGTGCTACATAACTAATTTTCAGCATTTTCTGAAAATAGGACTCAACAAAGATACAGTGGCTTTTTTTTTTTGTAGTCCAATCAACAGATAAATAAAACTGAAAACAAATATTTTCTACATTCCTTTGTCATCCTTTGTTGAGTATCCAAACCATTTGACAGGAGTATAAATTATTCTCACCCATATATCAGACATGGCCCTATCTGAAAGAGAAGAAATGAAAAAACAAAACAGAACAAAATAAATGGAGAAAAGGCTGAAAGATAAGGACAATAGGGTAACCATTGCTGTTGTCTATTGGAGAAATAAGAAAAGAGGGGCAGCACAGACCAGAGCTCTGAAATGGATTTAGGATATCAATGAGATGTCTCTGGTAAGGGTTAAAAACACATTATTAGGGAGAGTGAAATGTAGCAAAAAATCACTTCCTCTTAATGAATAAATCCAAGTCTGTTGCATACATAAGGAGATAACTTGGATAAAGACTCTTTATTGTACAGAGTCAATTTTCTGCCTAGATAAAAAAAATCATATGGTAATATAGTGGGATAATGAATATACTGTGCCAATGAATATACTGCACCAAGGTTTGGGGTTAGTCTTCTCCCATTTATATTACACCATATCTGGATTTATGCTCCATACTTCCAAGTTCTGATTTCTTGATCCTAGAAGTTGGCATGCATAATGCAGACAGTATTAAACCACTGGTAGTCCAGGCCAATGAAAATTTGAAGAAAGATTATTCCAGACATAGATCAAAACCGTTAGGAACGGCAAGTTCCGAAATGCCCCAGAACAAGTCTCAGTGGGTTAGCGTTTCAGATGGTGACACCAGGGATATCAACAGTTCCACTCATTTGATAATGTGGAGACGTAACTGTTCCTTCTCCTCCTCAAATTCAAAGTCAATCTGGGAGCAAAGAAATGTGCCCATGAAGCCAATTGTCTTTGTGAACATTGGGAGACATTTGTTGAGGAATCCTTAAGTTTAAAGGTGCTGATGAAGACAAATAGCAAGTTGGCTGCTCAGAGAAAACATAATATTGTTTCCTACCCTGAACCACAAAGGTGCTTTTCTTGAAGAAGCAGGGGACTATGACATTTTCAACCTTTCAGCATGGGAGAAATTGAAAATTCTACTTTTAGACATTGCGTGAAGGCAGTTCTACATGTTAGAGAGGGATTTCTGATTAGACTTTATACAAGTACCTCCCGAAGGCTATTTACTTATTTGTCAGCTCAGGTTTGGCCTAGTGAAGTAAAAATGGGCAGAGGCCAGAAATACCAAGTCTATGCAGTACTCATCAAGCCTTACATGCTTATAGAATCATAGAATTTTTTAGGTTGCAAAAGACTCTTAAGATCATTGCACTGGCAAGCCCACTGGGATCAGGACCGCACATGAATTCTTTCATTTCATCACCATTTAGAAAACCACTTATCACTTTTTTCTAGCCCTTTCTTCATGATCTTCTTTTCCCCCAGTCTTTAAAAAATGTCGCACACACGAACTGCAGTATGGCAAGCGTAATCTTTCTTCGGTTTTGTGAAAACTTGTGGAAACAGCGAGACCCTGAGGCTTCAGAAACAATAGGCTGGAAGCCAACGCTTGCCAGGAGCCATGCCAGCTGGCTGGTGAGCACACTGCCAGCTGCAGGGACGAGCCAAATGAGCCTTACTCATAGCCCATGGGAGTATGCCCTGCACACCCACTACTGTGGCAATTCCTCAGTGACTGTACCTGATGTCCAACCCTCCCACTCCTCCACTTTCAAACCAACAGTTTTGTTTCCTAATGGTAATGGTGGCATTTGCCCCTAGTTTTGCATTTATCACAGAATCAACTAGACTGGAAAAGACCTCTGACTGAGATCATTGAGTTCCAACCTATGCAGTCATATAGTAATTATGTGTCCCTAATTAGGGATGTAAGGAGCTTGGGTTTGTAATTTCAGAGAAAAGAAACTCTGAAAAGTGCCTGTGAGTATTAGGTGTCATGCATGTTTCAGAGAGCAGGAATCCAATTCTTTCCCTAACCTACAAACATATGCTGAACAAAGAGGCTCTGGGAATAGATCACATGGATACAATAAGGCCATGCAAACTTTGCTTTCTCACTGCTAAACTCTCAAATCTCAGTCCGCTGATGTGTTACTAATTAATATTGGAAACTAAATCCCTAGGGATGCAGCTATCCAGTTTATTTAAATACTTTACACAGCAGCCAAACTAAGTGTGATAGCTTGTTTACTATGGATTCCTGCCCTATATGGAGCTTTCAGACACACTACATTAAGAAAGACAGCAAAATAACAAGTCATGAAACAAATGGCAATGAATACTGGTATAGCTCATGCTTATCTTTGTGGTATGTAAAAATCACAAGTTTACAGATTCACTGGCCAAATTTTAAACACTAATATAAAGTTAAGCAGGTAGATGGTACAAAAATCGCAACTGTTCTGACAGCTACCCTCTGTTATTTAGCAGCCACCACGTAAGAACGTGGTGTCAAGTTCAATTTGACTGCTTTGCACCTCAGATGAACAACCTGAGTACTTTAAACACAGCACTATCTCCTTCCATTCTCAAAGGTTCCTTGATATTCTCTTTCTGAAAGTTGTAATTTAATTCCCCAAATCAAAATTTAATGCTTTTGTTCAGCAATTTACATGAAATCTAAAGCAAAATAAATAAATGTTTTGAAATAAAGCCTATAACGAAGAGTACAGACCAGCAGCACCAGGCTGCCTAAGCTAGCTCTATTAGAGAGCCATTTTTAGTATTCTAGAAATGTCTGCCATCACACAACAATGTATAGAAGACACTTTTCCAAACTAACCTCTTGATCTGTGAAGATCTCAATGAAGTTCTGGAAAGAGAAAGATCCTGACTGAAGAATAAGTTCTCCTGTGTTTTCAAAGCACTGTCCAGTGAGAACGAGGAGCTTGTGCCTCGCAGCATCTGTGATCATTAAGCGCACCTAGAGTGAAGGAGAGAAATACATCAATAATGGGATTTACCATGTGTTTCTGCATTCCACTGAGAGCATACAGTTTATTTCTCCCAATTTAAAACCATTGTCTGGAGTAGGACTGTCAAAACATTATCAAGTATAGCGCTGTTTACAAAAGACAATGAGAAAGGTGAAAAAGGGAAAAAAGGAGGGACTAGAAGCAATTAGAAAGAAGGTCCGAAGAATAAACCAAACTAATGACATAAAAAAAACATCAAGGAGCAGAACAGAATAAAATTTGAAGGAAAAAAAATTTTCAATGAACAAACATACTAATAGTATAACTATTGGTTTCCTTTAACAGCACTGTACAAACTTGGTAAACTATTTAAAAGCAGATACTTGTTACTTTACTTGATCCTCCTGCACTTACTAATCAATCTTGTTTACTACCCCCCAGGGTAGTAAGAAAGTGCTAAGAGAAATACATATATTCAGTATATTTCTATTGGCTGAATTCAAATTAAGAACAAAACTAAACAAAACCTATGTAAGATTCTGTACTGTTGAATAAATATTTTGCAAATACTTCAAATGTATTCATGGAAAACTGAAAAATCAAGGAGGAATTAAATTAAATTAAATTAAATTAAATTAAATTAAATTATTAAATGAATAGTGGCTCTAGAACAAGGCTATCCACATACTAACTAAATGAGCAAATAAGCAGAGTCCATCTGGGACACCTCCATATGATGTTGCATCCAAGCTCCATCTCCATGGAGATGACACAATCACCTCCTCTCTCCTTGCAAGACATTCTTTCAATTTTTTATATTGATTGTTAAGCAATCAGTTGTTCTAAAAAACTCCTGCTAATGCCTGGGAGGCTGAGCCAGGAAGGCTTAACCTGAATCCCTGCTGAACAACTCACATTTTCAGTACAAGTAGAAAAGAGAGCCTGGAGAGCTTATATCCAAAAGAATATCCCAACTCTACCAAATTGTCATTGTTATTTTATTAAATACGTGACCCTGATGCCGATCAGCAAAAAATTCCTTTAATTAAATGTAGGACTAATGTTGGTCTGTCACCAGTTGAACTATAAATTCTGAAATATCCTTGATGGATTGAGTGTATCTATTTCTATTGTAGACAAAAATATAGACAAAGGTTGCCATCTGTCTGATATGCATTGCCCAAATTTTCTGTTTTAGCTGTATTAAAACCATATCAGAACTGGCTTCCTCTTCTATGTTTTCTGTTGTTATTGGCAGGAGTACTCATCACCCCGGCAACTTTTGTGAAAACTCACCAGGTTTTGCAACAGCAAAACTATTTCCTGACTTGTGAATCGCTGATATGTGACTGTCATATAATTCCCCTTCAGCCTATTTTATTAATTGATGATAAAGTACATTGTGCAGAGCTAGCAAAGTATGGGAAGAAAAAAAGTAAATAAATGCTTGCAGATTACAGAGTATGATGTATGATACACATGGAAGACCTTAACGATACGCATAAATTCTGTGTCTGGGTACAAGCAAGGCTTCCTGAAGGACTAGCAGAAATTTTTCTCCTGATTTCAAGACCACTAAATTTCATAACAAATACTGCAAGGTGATGATTTTTTTCAGTTTAACTCTTGTTTAAGTGTTTGTTTGAAGGAAGTGCACAAGCAAGAGGTAGCCTCAGTCAAAACAGAGGTAAAGATGGAGTGTGAATAGAGATGGGCTCATCAGCAGATCAGTGTTTTCCCAGATCTATGGTAGTCACAGGAGCAACAGAGAGGGGACTTCCTAAGAAGGAAGTACATATTCATGGGGGTTTCAGAAACTTGTTTTCTTAGGGAAACTTCAACCACTCTCCCTTTGGGCTTCTCTCTTCTGGGAGGTATTTTGGCATTTGATAGAATATGATAGGACCTTCAGGCAGAACCATGCTTGGACTACCACGAGGTATGGCTATTGGCAGCCAGAATAGCAGGAATATCATATTTCTTCCTATTTTTTCTTTTATTTTTGGGGGGCTTTTGGGGGGACTTTTTTGGGGGCAGGCAGGAGGTTGGTTGTTGTTGTTGTTTTGGTTTTCTATTTGATTTGGGGTTTGACTGGTTGGTTGGTTAGTTTGGTTTGGTTTTTTCTGAATGAAAAGTTTCAATTTCCTCTTCTGGTGAAGTTAGAGCTTCACAGTATATCACTGTCTCCCCAGATGCAACTTGGAAATCTCTTGATATGTGAAACTAAGTCTTCTATTTGCCATAGTGGGCAGAGCATGTCTACTTCAAACTCTGATTTAATTCTTCCACCTCTTTCTTATTGTCTCTTTCTGGATTGTGTCCAGTCAGAGCCTGGCTTAGCCAGCCAACTTCAGATCTCAGCTTGTAATTTCTGACTGTGACCAGTTTGGCAAGATGAGTGCAAAGAAAAGATTGGCTCCCAGAGTCTAGTGAGACGAAATTAACTGTAACATAGCCAAATATGTTCCAAAACCAAAGCAGTAAGGCCAGGGTTCAGAAGTCATTAATGGCCCTCAAATCATGTTCTTCCATGTGGTCATTCATAAAAGAAATAACAAGCTACAGAGAAAGAAATAGCATTTCCCTACTTTTGGCAGCTCTTTTGGCTCTTCTACTTGTCCACACATGCACACACATTATAGGCTTATAGTCTGAATAAATGTATTGAGTGCTGCTACCCAGGTGGAACCCTTGTCCTTACCAAGGAGTGGTTTGTAACAGGATTTTCATGCATTGTTTTTTGGTGAATGAGCTGCCATTAACTAAGATGACAACTTCAGAAATTTCACTTGTTTTGGACTCCTTTCTTCTGTTTGCATGTAACTTTACTTAAAGTTGGTAATAAAATAGATTTTTTTACCATGTAGCAGAGCTGCTTCATTTCCCAACAGAAATGATATTGTGGCAGTGCTTCCCAACACAGGTCAGCAATGAAATTATCCCTGTTATTTCAACCTTCAGTTTCACTAGCTAAATACACCAATTTTGTCTTTGAGCTACACAATCAGTTCTTTCATTCTACTGAGTTCATAAGGAATTGGCAGTCTTCTTGTGGGCACTCTCCAGAGTCCATTAATCATGTCACATGCTTTTTTAAGGACAGATAAATTACTGTAGAGTCACTATCACATAGTGTGTAATTCCTCTCAAAGACCCAAATTTGTCCCTGGGCACCTTCAGGCACATTCTTCATATGTAAAATAGGCATCCAGAGCTAACAAACAATGGAAAAGCAGAAGAAAAGCAGAGGCACTTTCACCACAGCTGCTTCCGCTGCATCAAGGAGAGAATTTGGTGCATTACAACAAAAGGAATGCTGTGATCAGAAGTGTGTTTCTCTCCTATGCCTCTGACAATTTGTCAGGAGTCTGGGAAGCCAGGGAAAAAATCCAGGGATGCCTGATGTTTTTCATATTTGCTCCTAATATGCCCTTTCATTCAGCGTTAGGACCTGTTCTAAGTCTGTTACGCCTCTGAAATACAGTATTGGAATTTGTCAGTCATTAAGCTGGAAGGCGGTGACTGATTCTCTGTAATCATCTCAACTACATCTGCTTAAATGCTCTCATTGTGTCCCCTTAATAGAGCTTTTCCGAGACATCGAATGAAGTATTTCTGACTTACCTCAGTACTAACTGCTTCATCTGAGGGATTGATGAGGACTACAGTTTCTAAGATATCACTTCTGTGGTGAAGAATCTTCTGACCTGCAAGCACAGAGAGAAAGAAAAAGATAAGAAATTAAATTCAACCATCATGGTGTAAGCAAAGTTCCCTACGGGGATGGCTGGACACTTGCTGCGCTGTCCTGCTTTGTCTTCCTCCTGCTTACAAAAACCGTAGCAAGCAATGTCAGGCAACAAGAGTGAAAGGACACAAAAATAGCATCTAGATCCTGAAAAATTAAAGCCTGTGGAAGTTTGGAGGAGCCTCGCAACCCACTGCCTTTCATACTTAGTCTGTTTCTGTAGTTAGTAGTTATATTCATCTGACTGGGAGTAGATGCCAGAAAAACACAACAGGACCGTTGATTTTTTTTCCTTACATTAATTGGCAAGTTCTTATCAGACTCTCTTTCTGTGGGAACTTCAGTGAGATTAATTAGAAGCCATATTGTCATTCAGAAATCCAGACTGGTAATTAGTCTAAAAACCCAGAAGAGCTGTCCCTTCTGAGCAAACGGCTTGGCTGCTTCGTGCAATATGAAACAAAATAATTAACTTGGCTTAAAAGGGAGTATGAGAGACACAGAACAAGTTACCTATCTGCCAACTTAGAAAAACTCCCTTGTCAAGAGAAGTGAATTAACGAGGTTGAGGATGGTCAGGCTGAAAGGAGCTCTGCATGCCTGAGGGCACCGTGTGAGAGGACGGTCAGATAGCCATTCCCACACTGCCCCTGGCTCGGGCAGGCTTAGTGCTGCCCCTGTCCCTGCCCCAGGCAAACCCAACTCTGCTGGCTGCGACCCTACCCGCCCCAGTGATGCCCCGCCTCCTCGCTGACCTCCCTGCACCCTCCAGCCTTCCTCCTCCTCGCCCATCGAGCCCCCACTGTGATGAGTCTGTCGCTGTTCCTCTGGGGAATCTCTACATTTATAAGCATGGAAGTTCACAATCAAACGACACAAAAAGAAGGAAAAGCGGGGGGGGGGAGGGGGGGGGCGAGGGAGGGGAAATAGTGTTTTCAAGTAAAATGTGAGACAGGGTTGTAGTCTATTCTCTTGTGCATGACAGTGCCTAAGACTCAGACTAATTAGTTTGAAGAAACCTAGTTTTCTTATTTCCTTTTTGCTATACTTCCTTGAAAGAAGATGACAGACTATATATTACAAAAGAGGAGGAGGGCAGGTCTTTCTCAGGAACATCTAGTTCTGGCATTACCCTTTGCAGTACAATTTATTTTTATAGCTTTGCTCCTTGTTTAACAGGAATGCACATCCAGATGGCTCTGTTACTGCAGACTCCTTCAGAAGATGCTCTGTGGTCTGATATTTTAGTTGTTCTTTAGATTTCCCTTAAATTAAGATATTAGGTGGAGTTTATTGAATCTAGTCTGTTAAGGAAACAAAAGAAATCATCACCCTTTAGCTCACACAGAAATCTCTTGCATAATAGTTGGTGGCATTGATCCCATACTTTTCTTCAGGCCAGACTAAGCCTCATATATCATTAGACATTATCACATTAAACACAGGCAGAAAAGAAATGCAATTAACCACATGCTAAGTTAGACAAAGATGCACAGTGTCCACTTGGCTCAAAGAACACACTTTGGACTTAACTGAAGCTGCTCCAGGTGATATATCAGTGTAGCTGGGAGGGGTTTGACCCGAGCAGTTACAACTCGTGTTGACCAGCACCAGTGGCGGTTATTTACATCCTGTACTCCCATAGGCCAGACACTCAGCTTTAGTGCTTGTGTGGGTTCATGGGCCTTGAGACTGATTTTTGGAGGCAATCCTGTTGGTCTGCACCATGTACACAGTGCTCGTTCAAAGATGCATGTGCATGTGTGACTGTCTCCCTTTTCAACTCCTTGGCGTTGACATGCGTTACTGCTCATCATACAGGGTGGGGACCCAGCACTGGCACAGTGTGAGTCACTACACGGGTTCCCATCCCATAGAACACCTGGGAAATTTGCAGCTACTTGCTGATATCGGTAACATGGTCCCATGTCACTGCTTGAGAAATTTAAAACAACAACAACAACAAAACAAACAAACAAACAAAAACCCAACCAAACAAAACCAAAACCAAAACCAAAACAAACAAACAAAAACAAACAAAAAACAAACAGAGAAACAAAAAACTTTTAAAACTATTTGCAATTTTGTAAGAGCAACGCAGGCTTGCTGCCCAGATTGATACCCTGAGACGCTCAACTGGAATGAAGGAAAGCTTCCCACGAGAACAGTTTTATCAGACAGAAATTAATTATCACAGTGTGGGAGCAGAAAACTGAGCAAGGCATGTCACAAACTGGCAAGAGACTGCAACTAACTAAATTACAGATGGAGTGGGAGAATATGAGATTTATGTGGAAGATCTGGGATTCCTTTAACTGTAATGGATTTTTGCAGCCCCTCTCTGTGCATGTGACAGATCATTTCTGTCATGAGACACAGGAAGGAAGGAAGGAAGGAACTTTCAGGTCACACAGAAGTGGTTAAGATTTTACCTGCTTATAATTTCTGGAAAGCAAGTCACAGCCCTATCTTCAGGGCTTTATATCTTTCATATATGAATATTGTTCATGTTAGGAAGAAATCATCTTTTGATTTTATTAAATAAAGCTTCAAATTAATACCCTATATGTGTAAAGAGCCTTAGCAGCTGTTTGATTCAGAACCAGAAAAGAGAGAAGTAAACAGCATCAGACAATTGCTTACAGGGTGATTTTGGCATACATCATCCCATTTCCTATGGCCATACGATTCTACTGCTCTCCTACTCAGCCATATATCAATGACATTTATCTTATGATTATTGAGATGGGGATGGTGTCAGTAATACTTCCTAGAAAAGTGACTGAACAGAATTCTTAACTTACACAGTTGATCTTTTCGGGCCAGTTAAGCAGAGTGAATGTAAGGCCTATTTTTAACTATGTTAAATTTGTGCAAACACAAAATGCAAATGAATGGCAAGGAAGAGAAATCAAGTCCTCCTTCAAGTCTTGTTTAACCAAGGATCACTAGTGACACACTTTTACTGGGCATGCCTGTGCAATCCCTGCCCATGGATTTGCATGTTGTAGGCAACAAGTTACTCAACAGAGGGGTTCACATCAGCTTCTCCTGCCTCTCCAGGTGGACATCAACACTCACCTGCTCCCCATCAATGCTATTCCCACACAATGTAAACAAAGAGGAAGGAGCTAAACCTCACCTGCAGTGATTCTTGGCAGAAAGGGTGAAGGTATTCCTTCTCTCTGAAGATGGTAACTGTTTGACACCTGAGCTGGCATTCAAACACATCTCTTTGGCAACTTTAAACATCTCTTGTTTTTTATTGTAAAGAACTTCAAAGCAACATTTCACCACTGAAATGCATGACTGCTGTGTTCTAGCTGCTGTGTTACATCAGTGACCATGCTGGGTGGCATTAACAGATGGATGGCACAGCCTGCAAGGCTGGCTAATGAAACTTCCCACAAGCCATGAATAAGCAATGAACTCTCTGCAGCTAGCAACATTCAGTGCTCTGCACCTGTAACGAACTCCAATACGCAGTCACCCCAGCTGCCTCTATCTTGTGAAGGACATTGAGGAGAGAAAAATCCTCCAAATGAACCATAAAACATCCATTCCTGGAGTTATTTTTTGAAGTCTGAGAAGACATTTTTAGCAGACAAATACATTCACTGAAGAAAAGACATTTTCCCAGTAGGGCAACACTGCATTTGAGGAGCAGAAACATGTAAACTTTTCCCACATTTCTCGGTATGGATGGCAGAAAAAGCTTGGTGTATTTTAATTCCTACTCAGGACAATGCCCTGTTTATTGATGTCCACATGTAGTAACACCTTCCAAGCTTTTGTCCTGTTTGTCTTTACATTCATGGTAAGCAAGAGCTGGATGATTGAAAAATATTCCTAACTAAATAGTTTTGTATTTATTGGTGTATAGGTGGCTTGGAGGAGAAGTGGAGGAAGAGAGGAGGGGTTTTACACTCCATTTCTATGCACCCATGAGCTAAAGGTCAAGGCAGGGGCAAATCAGACATTCTTTTACATTCAATTAAACTGGTAGAAGAAAATACACCTTCAGCAAAACCAGAAGTAATAAATAGCCTGCAGAACACAATAAAGGTCTTCACCATTGAACAAGAGGCCATAGGGACCATGATCTTTTGGCTGCTAAGACTCTGAAAGATAGTACTGGGGTTTGTCAGTCACTATGTTGGGAAGCAATAACCAGTGTTCAAGAATCATCTCAAGTAAAATCTGTTTCAAATTTACCGTGTTGGATGAAGGTTATTGGAAGGTTATCATATCCCTTGCACATGATACATTTAAAGCAAAAAATTCCTTTGGAAAAAAAGGAGCTTTCTGCCCAGCCAACAGTAATCCAATAACTCATACATTTTAAATAATTTTAAACTGCTCACTGTTTCATCTTCTATTTCTAGGACATCAATTTTGTCCTGCAAAACCAGACGTGTTAACATTCTGTTTGTCATGGCTGTTCTATATTATCAGCAGAGTACTCAGAGTCTGGATTACTGGCCAACTAAAGGTTACTATGTCTTATACTAATTGAATAAATCTATTTTTCCTTGTTTTCAATACAAAGATCCATGGGTATAAATTGTCAATAATGGTGTAATTGTAACCAGCCCCAAGCCACCCACCCTATCAGCCTGGAGGCACTACACTGCAACAAAAAATTCCAGACCAAAGAGAAAGGATCAAGATTCCCTTTTACATCTGATTATTAATTATCTGAAGAAATTTTGCATAAATTATATGGAACACTCCATCATCTCCACCTTCTTTGTTGAGATAGGGCCACCAAAGCACGCTAAGCTTCTGCTGAACTAAACTGCAAGCTGGAGAAATGGGTAAGCGTACAGCATTAAGCAAGGGAGTGGGTTATATAGAGTCACTGAAGGAAATTCTGACATTGTAAAAATCTGGAGTTCTGTATCTGCAAGGAAGAAGAAAATTATTTGCAGACTTGATGGAGAAATACATCCTGTATCA